TACTGCTGCAATACTCTTCTAGGGGTTAATCCCCAAACACTAACATTAGGCAATGAAAAGGAAGCTGGTATAAGGTTCACATCAAGTGTTTGCCAGTCATTCTTGCTTTTCAAATACTAATATCAGAATAATTATGTTTATTTCTTTTCTATCTTTCAAAAGAAAAGCAAAACAGGAAAAGGAGAACTTGTGGCAAGAAACCGTCAGGAAGGAAGAAGAAGAAAGAAAAAAGCGTCTGAAAGAAGATCGAATGCAGGAAAAGATCCATGAGGAAAAACAAAGAGCTGAGGAGGTCATTGCACGAGAGAGGGAGATCCAGAACCAAAAACTGGCAGAGGAGAAATTTGAAGAGAAAAGACAAAATAAAAAAGTAGGAATTCTAAGAGAACCTGAGCAGCAAAGGCAGAAACAAAAGGCAGAAGAAAAAAAAAGACAGGAGAAAATTGCAAAAGAAGCTGAGGAGAAACTTAAACGATTTGAAGAAGGGAAGAAAAGAAAAGATATTTTTAATTTGCAAGATTCTGAGAAATCTGTTTCTCACTTAAATGAGAAAAACGTAAATGTTCTTAAACAAACAAAGGGAAATCTTAAGTCTGTCGTGAAAAGTGAAGGTAACTATTCTTTTTTAGATGTGAGTGGTTTGGTTTGGATTTGTCTGTAGTTTGAAACAACATTTAGGATCCTGAGATGGCTTCCACCCTTGAGATAGGACTGTCTCCAGAAGAGTTCCTCTCATGGAACTCCAGTCAAATAGCAGATGCAGGGTTTTACTGATTTCTCCTTCTCTTTGCTTTGCTTTGCTTTGCTACTGAGGATGGGACTTTTATGGAATGGTGGTGGTTACCACAGAAGAAGATTCCTGTGCATTAATTGAAAGGCTTTTGTTATGCACAGACATTTAGATAAGATCTACCATGACCTCTGATAGCTGTCTACAGTGTCTTTTGCTGTTCCTGATTTGTGAGGAAGTAGGAACTTAAAGGGATGGCAACTTTTCAGTAGCAATGATTCCTGTATATTTGGCTCTTCCCAAAATTTAAATATGAGGATAAGGTGGTGCGCTTGTTGAAATCCTGACCTTCCTAGAAATAGACTTGAAAAGGCATTTGTCAGGAACTAGCGATCAATTAATAGTTTCTCCTTTACTTTTTAGGCCACACAGTTAGTGCTGCTGATTCTAAGACATCAGCCGGCTTTGTGAATTATAGAGCTTTATACCCATTTGAAGCCAGGAATCAAGATGAGATAAGCTTCCATTCTGGAGATATTATTGAGGTAAATTATCATTTCTGAATAATAAATAAAAACTTAATTTACTTAATCCCAAATTATTTTATTTTATTTTTTTCGTTACAGAATGCTTCCTGACATGTAGCAGAATTAAAACATATTTGTAAACAAATTTAAAAAATTAACATTACATTTGATTATTTTTTTTCTTTTCCTTTTCCTTTCCAGGTTGCTGAGAAAACTGAAGGAGAACCTGGCTGGTTATATGGAAATTTTCAAGGACATTTTGGCTGGTTTCCATGCAATTATGTAGAGAAAATATCTGAAAATGAAAAAGCTGTTTCACCTCCCAAGAAAGCCTTACTTCCTCCTACAGTCACCGTACCAGCAGTTCCTCTAGAGTAAATATAAATTTATGTATTCAATTTATTTAGTGACCAGCTGGCTAAGAATAATAATCCAACACACGCATACACATACACACACAAATAGGTAATCAGCAGCTGAGGTTAAAGAATAATACAGTACAAATATTTCAATAAAACTAATTCACGGTGAATGCACCAACATCACAAATTTTTAATTTAACATAATATGAGAGCAGCTGATCTCTGTTCCAGTTTAAAAATGTAAAAGTATCTGTACTGTGTTTTTGTGCTTCTTGAATTAAAAATGATAGCTGTAACTGGAGGATCCATCTGCATGCAAAAGGTTTCCAAGTTGCTTTCAATAATTTCTCTCTTTCTGCACAGTAACGATTCCTTAGCAGTTGCAGAAGCTATAAATTATAAAGACATCCCTAAGATGTCCTTTCTGGGAAACTGAAAGTTTTTTGGCTACTTTGCTATGATGGTTTCACCTATTGGGTTTTATTGAAAGTAATTCCCTTATGTATATGTTTTGATCTTGCAGAGTACATTCACCCAGTAAACCAGCAGACGAAGCAGAGTACCAAAATGTATCTTTCACAAACTTAAATGCTAGCTCATGGCAGAAAAAGTCTGCCTTTACTCGTACTGTTTCCCCAGGATCTGTTTCTCCCATCCATGGACAGGTATGTTCTTAGTACAGAATGAAACTGTTGGCACAGGGTTGGGAGCATCGATATGCCAAGGACACCGAAGCACATAGGTTTTGTACTTTAGGTATTTTATATTTTTGATTTTGTTATGAAATGTATATTTGGGGTTGGCCTTTTTGAGGGGAGCTCATTTTATTTTATGATGCTGTTGTTAACAGCCCAGAGTCTTTGGGAATGCACAATCTACAAATGAAACACATAAATATGTAAATAAATAAAATACGAAATTGTTGTAACCGTCTAATTTGTAGCATTCATTTAGAAAAATGTATATTCTATGAAAAGTACTCTGTATTCTCTTTCATAATACTACATTATATACAAAAAATACATAGTGGTAATCTACATAATTGGCTAATTGTTGGTTTATGAAAGGATACCCTATCTATCACAGATTTTCAAGGTAGTTCATCAGATCTTGTCTTGCTTGATTCTATTTTATTGAATTTTTTCCATAATTCAGTTGGAATTTGTAGGCAAGACAATAGATTTTTTTAAAAAAATTATTTATGGGCAAATGTGTAAGGAGATTCTCAGTCATCCAAGTCATTGTTGTCCCAAAGGTGCTTTTTCAAGAGGCAACTGACTTTCTCGGTTTTTCTTTTGAAGATGTTTTACTTCTCATCCAAGAATCTTTTTCAGCTCTGACTCTGACTTATTTATGGGCAGTTAACAAACTACATTATCCTTAAAACACACTTTTAATCTATTTTACTGGGCGCTTTAAAAGGTAGTTGTAAATATAACTATTCCCATTTACATGGTGGAGTTATTCATTTTCTCTATACTATCCCAAATCAATTTGCAGTATATTCCAAATATGTTTGGCTTCTTCCAAAGTAGAGCTGCTAGTTTGTTTTAAATGTTTTTGGAGTGAACATATTTTTAGTATATATTTTGTGTCTTTGAAACTTGCATGGCTGACATTAACATACTATCTTCGACAGGGACAAGTGGTAGAAAACATAAAAGCACAAGCACTTTGCTCTTGGACTGCAAAAAAAGATAATCACTTAAACTTTTCAAAAAACGACATAATTACTGTGCTGGAGCAGCAAGAAAATTGGTGGTATGGAGAAGCTGGTAAAGGAAGAGGATGGTTTCCCAAATCCTATGTGAAGATTTTACCTGGAAATGAATCCCAAAGAGAGGAGTAAGTAAGGCTGTCAGAATACTTCAACTGAAACTGTTGGCAAAATAAGTGTGGTTTGTGTAGAAGATGAATAGAAGACTGGTTGAGATTTGGAGGGATTCATATGGACAATCTCTGTTTCCCCACAGATGATATTTTAGCATGTCTGTCTTTAAACTTTGCTGGCTTTGAATATTAGTTTTAGAATTAAGAACAATTTCAGAGATAATTTTTATTCTCTTTTTAACTGTTCATACATTACTTTCCCAAATTTTTGGATAAATTCAGAATTTTTAAAATGAAGTTTGAAATTGAGGAATATATTTGGAAGAAACCTTTTAGCAGATCAGTGGTTTTACCTTAACAAGTACCATCTTCATACAGAACTTCTCATCTCCCTTCCTTTGTGTTCTTATTAAATGCCTTCTGCTGATGGGTTTGTAGGAAGTCACCTAACTTTAAACCATGGATTCCAATAGTGGCTTATTTTAACAAATTAATATTAACCATAGCACACCGAAGTATGGCTAGTGTGATGAAGAAGCTTCACTTCAAGTCCACCCCAAGGGTAGGGTGGGGAGGGCTATGTGAGAAAGAAAAAGATGAGACTTCATCTCATCATATTCAGAATGACTTGAGGAATCTATACTTTCCCTTATTTCCAAACATCTCGTAAGTTTGAATAGTTAAATATGAAAAAATAACTATAACTTAATTATTTCTTCTGCAGACCAGAAGCTGTTTATGCAGTTATAAATAAGAATCCTTCCACATCAATTGGTGTTTCAGGTGAGAGCAAGAACTCCATGTAAGCACTCTGATTCTTAAGTCTTTGAATGAGTGTATATGTCTCAAGGAATAAAGAACATGCATAGTACTGCACAGTGTTTCAGACACCCATGCTAGAACACTAACATGTGTTTATCTATCCAACGCTATAAATGTTCTGAGATAAATATTTGTAATAACAAAGATAGAAAAGCCTTTTATTCTGGTCTCCATATATTTTACCTGAGGAGTATACTTTTCCTCTGAATACTTTAATAAAATAATTTCATTAAAATTGTTAAATGCAGGATAAATTGGTGACACATGATAAGAAATCAGCATGCTGGATTCAAAGAAGTTAGCCTAAGCACAGCATTCCAACTCTCATCTACTAATCGTCATTAACTTAAGTGAAGAATAAATTTGCTTTGCAAAAGCGATGGTATACTTGCAAAAATGTGCTGTGTATATATATGTGATGAGGGTATCTTTTCCTCTGTTAGTAAGCAACACTATAAACACAGTAGAAGATAGCACCATATTTGTAATTGTCTGCCATGCTAGACCTGGATACATGAAGGGACATTACATATTGCCAAAGAATGGTGTAAGATGGTTGAATGCGAGAGGAATATGTTCATGTGTGATTAGGCTATTGAAGTATTACATTTTGACTTTGAATTTTTCTGTCATTAAAAAAAGGTATCTATAATTTCCTTTGTTGCCTGATGTTACCTGAGCATTAGTCACAGATTTTGAGGTAGAAAGGATTATATGAATCAGTGTTTTACAATCTTTAGTCATACATAGCTTTACTACATGACTGAATTTTTCTCTACCTTTTCAGAATATGTAGCACTATATCCATATTCAAGTTCCGAGCCTGGTGATTTAACTTTCACTGAAGGTGAAGAAATAGTAGTGAGTCAGAAAGATGGGGAATGGTGGACTGGAAGAATTGGTGATAGAAGTGGAATCTTTCCTTCAAACTATGTCAAACCAAAGGATCATGATGTAAGACTTCGTCTAACTGTTCTGCTTTTAGAATTTCTTTTTTCCCAGTTAGAGATGCAGGGTTTCAAGAATAAAACCAAGACAGTTTCAGGGATACATGTACAAGCCCAAGAAAAATGTAATAGGGAAGAATTCAGCTTTGTCTCAGAGAATAAATATTGCCCATTCTTATGGCACTTTTGGCCAGGGGATAAAAGAGAGGGAGGAGGGAGGCAGAATTTGTTGCAGAAAGGACTGATTTTAGATTTTCTAAGGTTGTGCTATGCTTCAAAAATGGGTACTTGCAATAAAAAAGGGGGAGAACTGAAATTAAACTTGGGCTCCCAATTGTTTGTTCTTTTTTGTAGATTTCTCCTACGGCTAGCAAAACAGGAACATTAAATAAAAAACCTGGTGAGTATTACTGTTTTTTTTGTGTGTTTATCTATTATAATCATACATTTTACACTGATACATATTTCTCTTTAGAAATTGCTCAAGTTACAACAGCCTACACTGCATCAGGAACGGAACAGCTGAGTCTCGCTCCTGGACAGTTGATTGTGATTTTGCAGAAAAATTCTACTGGATGGTGGCAAGGAGAACTACAGGTAATAGAGCAGCCAGTTTCTCGACCCGATATCATGTTTCTTATCTAGATGAGCAAATTATGTCTGTAATTATATATGTATGTATGTATGTATGTATGGTATTCAGCTTTGTTCGGGTATTTTCCCACGTCAATGTAGTTGTGCATTTAAAGTTGTAGCAACGTTTCGGCAGAATCTACAATTGCTACAACTTTAAAAGCACAACTACAATGATGTGGGAAAATACCCGAACAAAGCTGAATACCATACATGTAAGTACCCGCGAAAACTTAAGAAAACATATAGAGAGAGGGGGGGGAGAGGGAGAGAGAGAGAGCGCGCAAAACTGCATTTATTTCAAGAAGAAAAAATTTATGAAAAAAGGAGATCTCATTGGTTGATTGATTGAAACCAAAAGCAATACATAGTAGTTAAAAATAAATGAAAACAAGATGGGATAAGCAAATAGACATGTCAAGCACTTATCTATCAAAAACTAGATCTGTATCCCTCTTGCATCATCTGCTGTTGAGAGGAATTTAGCACTCTTCTGCCTTACTGGCGCAAATCAATCCACTAGTAGAAAAAGAACACATTTTGTTAATCCAGCTGTCCCAAAATGTATGAATAATAAAGGTATTAAATCTGAGACCATGGTTCGTACATAGGGCAGAGCAAGAAAACATAAAAGACTGACTCTTACTGCCAATCTCAGCAAAGTTAAAAGTATGCAAGTAAAAGGACATTAGATTTTGGATTTCCAATTGTGTTTTTCAGGCAAGAGGAAAAAAAAGACAAAAAGGATGGTTTCCTGCTACTCATGTGAAGCTGTTGGGTCCCAGCAATGAAAAGACTATGCCAGCTGTTCATCCAGGTGAGCAATTAAAACTTGTTTCCGATTGAGGGAAGAGTTCCTACCTTATGGTAAAACCAAAGTGTTTCTTTTTAGCTTAGCATACTGTGTGACTTCATCCATTGTAATTTGTAACTTATGCTTTATGACTTAGACTCATGTGGGAACCCATGCAATTGTGATATATTCAATAAACTATACGTTCTCATAGTTTTAGGTGCAAGCCATATAACTTGGGTATTATTTTCAGTTTTATTCTTTTGTTTGTGGTTATATTTTGTTCTTGGTACAACATTTCAATGTAGTTGTTTATTGTGTTACTTTGATTTCTTTGACTCTCTCTCTCTCTCTGTGTCTCTGTCTATCTATCTATCTATCTATCTATCTATCTATATTCAGATTTTACATAAAACCATCGATATGTAGAGTTATGATAAAATCATAAAATACTTGATTAAGCATTATAGCCAAATTATTTGAATTTTATAAAGTTTTGGGCTTTGTACATTATGAAGAAGAAAAAAACAAAATTTTATTCTGAGGGCAGTTTGAGAATGAAAGTAAAGCAAAATAAAGAGAGGATTAGACTAGGAAGTATGTGTTCTATTTGTACATGTTTGAATTTAGTTGCATTAGAATGTGGAATGTATATTTACTGAATTTATTATAATTAATATAATAGAATCTTTGGAGGAAACAGTATACAAGTAAGCAAGTAAATTTAGGAAAATAAATTACATTTCTGAATTAAATCAAATTTATTTAAATAAAATAATTTATTTTCTTTTAAGAATTAATTGGAAAAAAATCTGGCATTTTTCCATATTAAATGTTCTAAGCATTTGTACTATTTATTAAGATGAGTAATAAATAAGTGGTCAAGAGAAAGCTACATTTGTAAATTTTAGCAATTTATAATTAGCAAAGCTTACCTTCGCAAATTATGACTGCAATCGCCGTTATTTGAAAATTGGAAGTGTATTCATGAATGATTTTCACCAATACTTCACTATCAAAAAGAAGACACCCTTTATTTCAACTGGTTTCTTTTTACAGTTCTATACTTGATGGCTTCTTTTAAAAATTGAGTGTAGAATGGTCAGATCCGCAATTGCTGAGATAAGTCAATCCAGAAGTCGAAACTTTTCAACTCAGAAACAGAATTGAGCCATTGAAAATAAGATTGCTATTTATGAATTAGAACAATTTTAAATTGTAAAATGTAAATATTTAACATGCACAAATTTAAATAGTTTGTTTTGTAAATTTCTAAGAAAGGATGGTGATTGTTGCGAGTAGTGGAATAGTTATTGTTGGTGCTCCTGAAGAACCTTTGTCATTTCTTTTGTTTCTGTTAGTGTGTCAAGTGATAGCAATGTATGACTACACAGCAAACAATGAAGATGAGCTCACTTTTTCTAAGGGGCACCTTATAAATGTAATGAACAAAGAAGATATGGATTGGTGGCAAGGGGAAATCAATGGAGTTTATGGCCTCTTTCCTTCAAACTATGTGAAGATGACTGTAGACTCTGATCCAAGTCAACAGTGTAAGTAAAACTTGCTTAAGTAGTTATTGAATTTCTCTGTATTCATGCTTTTGTATGAAATAAATTCAGATACCTCATTCAATATAGGTGTACATTTGCACGGTCACATATATTTCTTCAACAGGAAAATGCTGAGTTATTTAGAATGCAGGGTTAAAAATAATGACTAAAATAGTTTAGTCATTGCGATATATTGCTGTGGATCTTGTGCCTTTTTAAACATGGCAGTAGTTTTTAAGGAAATTGTTTGGAAAGCTCAGTTAAGTATCCATCAATTTTTTTACCACCTGGTTCCAATTATGTTATGCTGAACTCTTCCTGTGAGGCGTGAGCTATTTGAGTAAGAAAGCAATAGACCAGTTTAATTTATGTCTGCTGCAGTCAAAAAAATTCTCAGTGGTTCATACCTCTACAAACAATATAATAAAATCAAAATAACAACATAAGTAACATAATAAAATGGGCATACTGCACAGATAACATAATATATCCTAGTCCAATTTTCCTCAGAGTTAAGTATGGATTTTTGCCAGGAATGGGATCCGACCGATATAACTACCGGTTCTGTTGCTCTGCGTCGCGCGCGTGCAATTTATGACCTGGTGAGCTGCCCGGACAGCTGAGCAGCGCTGCGTGCAAGTGGGCAGCGGTTGGGAAAGCCATGTTTTCCTGCTTTTTCAACCGCAGCTGTGTCGCGCAAAGCAGCTGCAGTTGAAAAAGCAGGAAATAAAGGTCAGGTAAGAGCCCAGGCGGGTGGGTGGGCCAAAACAGCAGCAGACATAGAACTGCTTCTATGTATGCTGTCTGTCTGCTGCTCTGTCAAGAGGTGGACAGAACCAGTAGAATCCCACCCCTGATTATTGCCTTCTTTCCTTTTTTAAAAAGAAAGCATCAAAGAAGTTTTATAATTTAGGCTTCATAACTTCCAACCTCACAGATCTGATCCATCAGATCTTTGAGATAGACCAAGTCAGAAAACAAACCCTACAAAGCTTCCAGGAATGCTACCTTATTGTTGTAGGCTTGGGGGTTTTTTTGTGCCATCAAGTTAGCTTTTTGTTTCCTGGCAACTTTACTGCAGTTTTCTTAACAACATTTTTGGCAATGTTTGCACTAATCTGCTTCCCAAGACTGAGGGAGTGTGTCTGGCGTAAGGTCACCTGATTGACTTCATGCCTAAGATGGAAATAAAACTCTCAATCTCCTGGTTTCTAGCCTGGTGCCTTAACCAATATACCAGACTGAACAACAAAATAACAATCCTGAAAACTTGTCAAAGTTTCTTTCTACCCACCTAGTACCAAAGAGAGTCAAAGTGAGGTTATTTGGAGTTATCTCCGTACTGAAGTTAAAGCTCTGACATTCAGCGCCTTCATTTACATAATATTTCTTGACATCAGTCTTATTAATATGGAGGTTATCAACTTTTTATTACTCTGGTTTCCAATTATTAAGAGATCTGTGTTTTGTCAAGGGATGGAGATAGTTTTGAAGCAGGATTTTATCTTTTGTTTTTTAAATGGGAGATCAAGAATTGTTCTAGATATAATTCCATATGTAGCCTAATATAATTAAAATGCTTGGTAGAATCTAATGTGTATACATATAATCTTATGTCTCAGCTTATGAATAACTGGAATAGTGTTGGCTTCAGCATTCACTGTTTGTATCTTTCCTCTAATTTTTGCTTTGTTTACCATTTGATCAATAAAACATGAATGCTCATTTTCTGTTTTGTGATTGTGATTTGGCCTAATTGAAATATTTCCTTGATATGAAATTTGGATTATTTCCTACATGGTTAGAATGATGTTTCTAGCTTTTAACACAGTTAACAATGTAGTTCATACTTTTAGATTTAACATATTTAACAAATTGGGCTGCACCATAGTAATTGGATAAGCCAATGTTTCTATGTTGAGATAATGGCAAGATAAGGTTTCCTGGCATTTTTAATCTTCTTCTAGAAGGCCAGTCTCATATTTGTGGGTGGACCAGATTGTTTTCCTTTAGAGCAGGGGTGTCAAACTCGCGGCGTCACATTGTCGTCATATGACATATCATGATTTTGTTTCCCCTTTGCTAAAATGGGGGTGGGCGTGGCCAGTGTGTGATGCATCCGGCCCGTGGGCCGCGAGTTTGATACCCCTGTTTTACAGCAATTGCAAATTTGTCATTTGTTTACATAGGGACACTTTCTAGATAAATAAAGTCATCACCATATCATAATATTGGGTTTTTGGTTTGTTCTTTTATGCATATACCAAGAAGGAAGTTGCTGTAAACAAAATGTCTCTGGTTTGTATATATTATGCACAGTCAGAAATTACTTATATTCTACCCTAATAATTTGGCTTGTATGAACTTCAGTGTTGGCATTACGTCGCATTACTTCAAAATGAAAACCTGTTTTTTAGAAATATGTAGTTACTCTAGAAAAGATTTCAGCACTATCCCACACACACACTCCAGGTAGACTAAGGTTTTAACCCTAGACTGCTGGTATTTTCCACCTCTCTCCATATTCTGATATGAACATGGAAAGAGTTGGTAGCATATTTAATGCAGCAAAGGTCTGAGTGCTGACATGTATTGACATGCCTATAAACACACATACATACATGTAAATATACATATGCATATACATCTTTAAAAAGTGTAGTTTTTCTTCCATTCCGTATATTATATGAATATTACATTTCATTTTATCCATTATAGCTTATTAAGTGAAATCTGAACATAGCACCATATGGAAACAATATTTCTAGGTCTGTTCATTCTACCCATAAAAGTTTGTGTCCGTGAAAAAAAAACCTTAATTTAATACTGAGGTGCCAAAATATCTTCCTGGAATCTGTCTTCTCTCCCAAATTTTATCGATAACTTAATATAATATTAGCACATACCTTAATTATGTGCTTCTCAACAACAAATGGTACCATCTAATCAGATACGATTAGTACTTGCAAGCTGATGGGGAAACTGAAAAAAACATTTTTAAAGAAACGGCAGTATGGCCAACCACTTCCATACTGTTACTCCGGAAATTACATGGACATGTAGTCATAAAGGGTTAAACACCATTTTTACCTTCACCAATGTTCATTAAGTCATTTTGATGCCCATTTTATCCCTTGAAGTTAATGTTGAACTCATTGGCCCTTAGAAATAGATGAATGAGGCAATGTCTGTTGATAATTGTTTAATTATGCTCTTGATAAGTGGTACTATGTAATTTGAACATATATAACCCAGATTTTGAATGTAAATAGCATTTAAATCCACAAAAACAAACCTTTATCATGCTTTTAGGCCAGAAATCACTACATAGAAACATATACATCTAAAATTGCAGATATCTGAAAAAAAGCATAAAATACAATGATAACATGACAATAATATAAATATAATGCAGGTCATAGTGAAGATCACCAAAATTAATATCAATGTTCAGTGGTAGGTGGGATGAATAAAAGAAATAGAAGCACAGAATCAGGCAATCTGGGAAGATACGTCAGTCCTGGTGGGATAGAAGGTTTGACAAATAAGCATTGCTTCTGAGCTTTTGATTAAGATCAGGTGTAAATATTGAAACTTTAAAATTTACCTATCACAAGTTCAGTGAATATTCTAAGAAATTACCTTGCTGCTTGATTTTATTTTCCCTTATGTTAGTTTAATTTTTAAAATTAACTGTTACAACATCTGGCAGTTTTAAACACAGTGTCCTGTTTCCAAATAGTTTTAAATTATCAGAAATATTTAAAAAAACATATTAATTCTGTCTTTAGAATATTGGTTATTAAGACAGTACTGCTTCTTATGTTCTACTATAGTCATTTATCCCTAATTTTGTTTTCTTTTCTTTTTCAAGGACCCACTGTTGTCTTCCAGTATGAAAGCACCTCAGAGACCCACTATACAAGTTTGACTATAGCATGGCGGCAGGGTGGACAGCCTGCTCAGATCTCTGAAACGATTTCTTTGCTTCGCTTCAGTATTAAATCCACTCAAGACTTCACGTTTTGTTCTATGCTGTACAATTACAATTCATTTATGCAAACTGATTAGTGGGTCTTTGTGTGGCTTTCTGCACTCTCGAATCTGGTTTTCTCTACTCTCTTTATTTAGGAACAATAATGAATTATTAGAATGCTAGTCCAAGCTATCTCTTGGCACAATGCAACTTTAGGCACACAAAGACCTACTATTTGTACTGTCACGTGGGAAATTGTGTTCTCATGATTAGCATCATATGTTTCCTATGTTGATCTCTCACTATGCACTTCATGTATGATCCTGTACACAATGACAATGCTATTATGGGAAAACAGAGCAGAGATAGAATAAAATGTGTTGTTTTAAAGGCACTTTATACCACTGTTATGTCTATATATGTTATATACTAGAGCTCTTTAGTTTCACCTAAAACACATATATAAAAAGTGGCTTTTGCTACAGAAGTTGGAAAGATTCTTCCCTAAATACTATACACTTCTTAAAGGAGAGAGTAACAATTTTTTAAAAAGCTAGACACAGGTGTTTGTTTTTTTGAGAGAAATTTCTTTTGGAGCCTTGCTGAAAGTCTGAGAAACCTCTCTTTCTTGAATTCCCAAAACTGTAACACTCCTGAGGGTGCTTCTTCCTTCTGCCCACCCTCCCTTCCCTCTCATTGGTCCTGATAGTTCATGTGGTTGTGGGATAGATGGAGCAGCAAAAAAGAACCTTTTCAACTCTGGGAGACTTAAGGGAAGCATCTCAATGCTCCTGGCATTATCAGCCTTCTAAGAGCATTTCAGATCCTGGTTGTGAAGGGAAAGAGCTTGTTGCAAGAGAGGAGCATGACATGGCATTGTGGGTCTTTCAACATTAAAAGAAGCCTTTTGGAGACCAGATACCTTAAGACCTTTAGAAACAGCATATTATCACATTCTAGTTGTTTGTGCCTAAGGCTGAATTTTCTTTAAAAAATCTTCGAAAGAACACTATATTATGATAGG